ACAAATCTCAGGCTGTTCAGTTATTTAAAAGACTCTCTAATGCATCGGAGAAAGGAAGGAAGCAACATGAGAGGTTTAGGGAATAAATACTGGGAGGGGGGAGGAATGAAAGAGAAGAACAACTTCTTCTGCACTATGTTATGAGATAGATATATGCCAGTGAAGCATGCATGACTATAAAATGGATAGAAATCCACCCTTTTAAGTGGGTCAAGGATAGTGATAACAAAATAACTTGCTGCTACAAGTCATCCTCTGTTAACTGCATATAAAATGTATAGTGCTAGTTCTGTGGATCAAGCCTTGTGCTTAAATCTCAGTATTTCTCAGTCGTGTTTCATTATGCAGAGCTTCATCTTTCGTATTAAAAAGACCAAGAAAAGACTCTTCTATAAGGAGTAAACTTTAGTGGTGATGATTCAACCAGTGGAACATTGTTTCTTTACAAAGTCGCTTAGAGGGCAAGAGATTTAATAGTTGATTTTACAGTTTCATGTTATAATTTGATGGTAAAATATGTACTAGATTTAGTGATTTTTCTTCTTCTTAGTTGCAGATGTGTATGTAGAACTGGTAAGCAAATTGCTACATGTGAAGTAGAATTGCATCATGGAGCACTGTAAGCTTTTATAGCATGTTTTGCATGTTAGATAAACATATATATCTCTCTCTTGGCATGATAATCTATCAACTTGTGTTTTAAAAATACTCCATAGTGGAGCAAAAGTTTGAATGTTTGTCCTTCAGGAGTCTCTTTGCAGACCTGAATCCACATTGCAGAGATGCCTGGGTCATTAGGGATTTGCTCTGTTAGTGAGGCAATTCCACTGTATCACCCTTTAAATGTAAATAACTATCCTTAATTAATGGAAATGCAATATATACTAAGTAATGACAGACCAAGTAAATTAACAAATGCAGGGAAAGATGCTGTAACTCTGTTGAAGGCATCAGATGAGGATCTTTCTCCTTCATCTCATTAGTTTAGGTCAGTTAGAGCCAATGTGAAGTATAGACCAGTTTTTTATACTGCACAAAAGCACTGAAATTAAATACATTTTAGCTTGTGTTAGTAATTAGAAGTAAAAATTGAGTCATTTAGGCATGTAAATAGCTATATTTGGTATGTGGTTCAGAACAGCTGTCTCCTCTACCCACAGCTACTGGTGATCAGAGAAAGCATGGCCAGACTTTGCAAACCCCTTTCTGACAGTGCACAAATAAACAACTAGGGGTGGACTTAGCAATGTAAATACATTTTAGCTTGTGTTAGTAATTAGAAGTAAAAATTGAGTCATTTAGGCATGTAAATAGCTATATTTGGTATGTGGTTCAGAACAGCTGTCTCCTCTACCCACAGCTACTGGTGATCAGAGAAAGCATGGCCAGACTTTGCAAACCCCTTTCTGACAGTGCACAAATAAACAACTAGGGGTGGACTTAGCAATGAAGACAGTATTATCCCCATTCCTTTTTGGGATTTGAAAGGTAAATGTAATTAAGTAAAAATTGAATTTACCAGTCTACATGTGGAGGCTCGTATTTCCCTTCCCTTGCTCCCACTGCCACTTAAAACCTTTTTTTACTTCCATTTTATTTTTACCAACCACCAACAAAATGCCATATTCCCCTGGCTTGGTTTAATTATTTCTTTGGAACGACCCAAACCTAAAAATAGAGCAATGCAGCAAGGGCATAGCATGGTTTTCTTTCAGCTCTTTGTGTTCTGCCTCCCTTTTTCCAAATGATGATGCCTTTTCACCCTTTCTTCCACCCGTACTTTTCACTCTCCTTTCTTCAGGCTCAATACTCCTTAAAAAAACTTTGTGAGGGTGGAAGGAAAGGAATTTGCCAAGGGCAATGTAAGATTTCACGAGAAAACAGAAGAGGGGAGCCCCCTGAAATGTCACTAATTATCCTGAGGAAAATTAAATTTGTAGGTGGTATAGGGCCATGTTCTAGATCTCTGAATTCCACTCTGCTGCAAGAGTGGTACCTGCCTTTTCAGTTTCCATTTTCTCCTGTCTTTCTCTATCTGCAGTTACTTGTTCATGGCTTGGAAAATAAGCTTTTTGCAGCAGGGACTGCTTTGTGGTTTTTTTTTGTCTGTAGTTTCCGCATATTTGATATTACTAGGTCGACGATGATAGAAATAGAAGTCATCTTTCTCTGGAGAACTCTTGACTCAAAATTTGAGACTGTGCTCCTAGTTAACTCCAAAAAGACTGACTTCCATGACAGTGTTATTACAGTGTTTGGGCAATAAGTGTGTATTATTTCCCAAGTATATTAGTACTACTACTTGCAGAGTAAGGAACCTAATGCAGCTTCTTGAAAGGTTAACTACCTGTGTGGCAGCTCAGTTCAGTTCCCACATTTCAGTTCAGTTTCAAGTTAGCTTGGGCATCTGCACTATGGATGCTTACAGTCCTCTCTCTTCTATAGGGGAGAACAGTGGAGAAGATAGTAATTTTTTTCTTCCAGTTATACTTGATTCTTTATTACTAAGAGGTGCTTTCATGTAACTTGTAAAGAGGTGTACCCTGCACTGTAAAAAATGCTGTTTAGGTATCATTAATGTGTAACACATGTTTTTGCTACAGTATTTTGCCAAGTAAGGAAATCTTTCTTGTGGGTGTATTCAAGCCAAAAAGATAATGGTCTCGTGGTAGTGATGGCACAGATTGTGGTGTGATGCAGCAAAAGAAGATGGAAAGGAAAGCACAGAGGCTTGTAAACATATGAATTTTTCTTCTCCATTCTTCCTTTTGGGTAGTTGAAAACATGGAGTTTTTGAGCAAGTTGTTTTCATGTGTTGGTTTTTGGTTTTGTTTCTTTTTTTTTAAAAAACAGTGTAGGAAGTTATGCTAACAAGAAACAAACCCTGCCAAAGGGGATAGGCAAATTCCTTAAGTGATTCTAAAGGTCAGTAAGATTCATTGCTGCTCTTTCAGTCTGCAAGTAATTAGTTGCTTAGGTCTGCCAAAGAAACAGGTATGTTATTGATATATATATATGTTAGTCAAATATTTGTGTTTGATTAGTGCTTAAAATACTAATTGTCTGTTTTCCCCTACATAATTCATTGCAGTTTCAGAATTTCAAATATTGTACCTTCTTGTTAGTACTACTCTGAGCTTCACTAAATTGTATCTGTGATCATATCAGCATAAAAATGTAGAATTTGCTTTTTAAACTGAAAACCAAAATACCTCTTGTAGGAGCAATACCAACAGCAGCTCAAGCTTGGTCAAGATTCAGTTAGAACACGCTAAGTTCACAAGTCTCATGAGCAGGTCTTCTCCAAAGGTTTAGGAGAACATTGTGGGAGCAGTGAAATCATACAAAGACAACAGAGGGAACTGGAGTTCTTACGTGTCACCTTTCTTCTGATAAATGTGCTTTAATACTAACCAGTGATTTAGATTGTTTGCTCTTACTGCAAGAGCATAAAATTGTGTTCAGGCAGAGTCTGTACTATTAAACCTTTTCACTGCTGTGATTTCTCAGCTTGTTCTTGGCCTGGCTGGAAAAGTGGCAGCAAATGTTACATACATATGGACATTATGTGGCTGGGGGGGTATTTTCTTCCCCTGAGTTGTTTAACCAGGCTTGGAGCAGTCCCAAATAACATTAAAGTGCTGCCTCTGACAGTGTTTTGCCACAGATGTCGTTTCCCTCAGAGGATTGTGGGTCTGAATGCTGAAAAGAGAATAGGTGTCCTTTTTTGTCCTAGACCAGGAAGGGGTGTGTATCGCTCAGCACAGGGTTTATTTAACAGCTTGCTTGTAACCATGGGGTAATATCAAGCAGTAAAATGTTAGTTAGAAGTAAGCTTAGCAGGGAATACTACTTTCACGCTGCCCAGTCAAAAGCTGTAAAAATCATCCCTGAAATATGGCTCTTCCTGTGGTGAAGAGTTACAGGTGGGTTATGAGTTACCAGGCATTTCTGAAAGCAGTCATATGCAAGAGAAAGACAGACCACTGCAGCAGGTGATGTAGGAGTGGAGATTACTGAGCAAGAAAAGCTAGGAGAAATTACTTCTCATGACACTAGGGAGGCACGTTTCAAACTTGGCTTATAATTGTATGTACTTTACGTGTCTCTGAAATTCTCTTACATATATTAATGCTGCAGCAATCTATATGAACAAAATGGGCAGTATGCCAAAGGGGATTGTAATTTTCAAGTACCTCCGTATTGTTATTGGAGAGGGGAGGGAGGATATCCACTAACAGTGTAATTATGTGGCAATTCCAGGGAAATTGATTATTATTAGCTTTTTATGATCATACTAACAAAGTCAATGATCCAAGATGAAATAGCAAAAATTAGTGCTTGAATACTATTCAGCAACAAGGTATCACCAGGTGAGAGTGGATGTATCTGCAACCAGATAATTCCTGAAATGGAAATGGCCATCTCCCACCAATTATAACGATGGATGTGCTCTATTAAAGCCTGATCCACTTTAATGGGGACTCCCAGGACGAGAGGCCATGTAAGTATGCAATGACACATACAGTATCGAGAAGTGGGTGGGTGTTTATTCTAAATACCCACATTGCTGGGGTATTTGCACCTTTAACCAACAGAGAGAATTACAGGTAGTGAATACAGATCAATTTCTTCAAGTTGGTTATTGCTTTAACAAAATCTTTTGTCACTTTTTCTAACATCCATCCTCAGTCCCCCAAACACAGCATGGAGACTGGATACCTGCATAGTCAGAACTATCATTTGTCAGCCTTGTCTTCCCCTTTGAGGCTCTGTGGTTTTGTATATAATAATTAAAACACTTCTCTGTGATGTGAGAAGGCTTTTCTAGAAGGAGAGCAAGTTGCTGCAATACAATTGCGTAATATCTTTGAAGGTCATAATAATAAAGCAGGGGAAAGAGAATAATCATTATTGCTCTTTCTTGTAATTAGTTTGCTTTCCGATATCCCACACTGTAACTAGAACATTATTCAAGAACACCCATCACAGTGCTTAACAAGATTTAATGTACATTTATTCTTAACATGTGGAACATATAAAGATTTTATACTGAATAAATGAAACTCATTAAGCCAGAGGAAAAGGAGGAATTTACATCAAGTTTTTTCTTTTTTAACTACATTATCTTGAAATACAAATGCAGATTCTTGTCACTGAAAAATCTTTGAAGTTGTGTTTCTTGCTTTTTTTTTCCTGTATATATTTTTTGTCTGTAGACTGGTAACCATTTTCTTAAATCAATCCATACGTAACCATTTCCACACCTTGATTTATAAAGCAAATTGTGATCGGCTGCTCTCCCGAAATAGAGCATGACTTTATACATACAGAAACTTGTACATTACCCTCAGTTGTTGGTTTCCTGTGTTGGGTTTTTCCTTTTTTCTTTTTTTTTTTTATTATTTTTTGGAGATATGGCCCAAATGAAAGAAAAAAAAATAATTCTACTATCACTTTGTAGATACCACATCATGAAAAAGAAACTAAAAACTTTGTACTAAAAAAAAAAAAATGAGGGTATGTTTAATGTACAACTTCTATATACATCACGGCCCTTAGGCAATAAAAAAATATTTTAAAAAATGATTAAAGGAATTGTGAAGAACTGTCATTGTGGAAGGTCAAAAAAAAATCAGATGTAGACAAGACAGTTCTGGTGAGGAAGCAATTGATGTTTAACTTCTTATTTTGTTTACAAATCTTTTAACTCGATTTTTTTGTTTTGTTTTGCTCCTAGCCTAATGTAACCATTTCTCCTGAGGAGAAACCAGTATAGTTTTGGATTTTGACTACTGACTGACACCCTCCTTGATCCCCTACACCTACATCACTAGAATCTTCTATTGCACAGAGCTTTGGGTGATGGTATACAAGTTTTTTTTTTATTTTTTCCTTATCTGAAAAAATAAAACACACAGGAACTTGGTATGTTGGTTATTTTTCACCTTTTTGTTTCAAAGTGGTGAGATTTTCTTTCCATCATACAATGGTTTGCCATAACATTTTTTTTTAAAAAGTCACTAGTTCGCTTCCCAAAAAAATATGCAATACAAACATGGAAAAGAACATTGAAAAGGATAATCTATGGAAAAAAAAAGTGTGACCTTTGAATGTACTAGACAGCAACTTTGGTTAAAAAAAAATAAAATAAAAAGATGTACTTATACACATAGACAGCAAATATTAATTTTATAACTGTTCAAATTAATAATTTCTTTAATTCCCAATTGGTAAATAGTGAATGGGGCAGAGGAGCAAAGATTCTTTTTTTTTCCTTCTTCCTACGTTGGATAAACAAGAACAGAAAACAGCCAGTTATATGTGACCCTCTAATCTCCACTCACACATGCTTGGCTTCTCACTTATGTCATAACTGCCCAATCTGAAAAAGTACATCACAGATGACAGATGCAACCAGAGAGTTCAGGACAGCAGATATGGAGATATCCAGCAAACGACCCTCGTGCAAAAGGAACTCTGAGCGGTTCTCGTCCACTCGAGCCATGGCCAGCAAGGCCTTGGCTGCCCTGCACATCATGTCTACGCTAGGCGGCTCCAGAGGCGGAGGCTGCATGTGCATGAGGTTATGCTGGCTCTGCTGGTACTGGGCCATAGTGACCCCATCCTCCAGGAAGCTTATCAAGTTTCCAATGCTTCCCTTCTGCACAGCTATTGCCCTTGCTGCTAATGTGTCCCCCTGGGCAAGGTTCGATAAGAGCGCCATGGACATTTCTCGGCAGACCGGGTTTTTGCGGTCCCCAACGTACCTAACTAAAGTAGCGTAGAGTTTCTCCTGACGACTGAATGGGGGGGTGGCCAAGATAAGGTCCACATTATTGTCCTGGATACTGAGCTTACACAGGGTCTCCAGCACAAGTCTCTGAGGCGAAAGAACTGAGTTGGGCCCCACGGTTGGAAAAGGATCCTGTGCCTCTGCAGACGGGCACACCATCCAGTGCAGCAAGCCATCCAAAATTGGCAAACAGATGCTTTCTGTGTAAGCAGACAAGTCTAGCTGCCCAGAAATGTTGGCTAATGTGACCAATGTATTATCCCTCAAGACCTCGAGGCAGTCCCACCACCACTCATCCTTGCTGCAGGCCACCCCTTTGTCCTCCTCTTCGTCTTTCTCGTAAGTCTGCGGTGCTCGCTTTCTTTCTGGATGCTCATGGTGAAGCAGGATCAACTTTCCCAGGATCAGCACCAAGCCTGGATGTTTGGACATTTCGGTGTCATTGCCAGGCACAAAAGACAAGCTACGGACAATATTTGACACACAGATGCAGCGTTTGGCCAAGGAGTCTTGCCAGTGAGTTATGGTGCATAGAGGAGTCTCATCCCTGCTCCTTGGCTCATCCTCTAGCAGTTTAATATTCCGGTGGCTTTTGGCTTGATGGATCCCAAAGGGAAATTTACTGCTCTCTGTTTGGGAACCAGAGTTTGAGTCTTCAGGTAATGCCCCTGGCCGAGCTGAGAGGACATCATCAATGGTTGCTGTTATACTTTTTTCTTGTTGTTCCTCAGAATCACCTTTCCCCTCGAGGTCCTTCTTTTTGCTTGGAGAGTTCAAGGGAGGAGGGGCTTTCCTGCGTGGAGGAATCTCCATCTTGCTTTCAAAGTGAGTCTGGATATGCTCAGTTGTGTCACCACCACCAAGCTGCCAGTGGAGAAGTCCACTATCAAATTCCTGAACGCGTCCAAGTTTGTCAGATCGGTCAACAACAAATAGATTATTTTTCTTTACAATCTTTATTGGCAGCTTGTCAAATTTACTGGCTTGTTTTGGCCTCTCACTTGGATCAGCAATGGCACCAGGAGTGGAAAAAACAATGCTCTTTTCTTCTCCTTCTACCTTTTCATCCTCCCCCTCCTCCTCATCTTCATCAAAATAGTCAATACATTCGTCATTCTCATCTTTTCCAGTATCCTCTGCCAAGGACTGACTATCATCTTTCTTGGCTGCTTTGTGATCAAGTGCTTTGTGGCCTGGATCTCCCACTTCATACTCCATAAGGATTCCAAAAATGTCAATCAGGCATTTTCTAAAATATTCTACTAAAAGCTCAAGAAATCCAGACAACTGAGGGGAGAAGAAAGAACATAAAAATCAGATAAATATTTTTGGCTGCATGGAATCTTATTAGGAACACTGATGTATACATCTGTGAATATTTCCCTCATCCTGCTGTGGACTTGTGGAAAGGTCCTGCATGGCAGAAGTTAATCAAAGGAAATTCTTCTAGTGTCTGTCCATACAACATATAATGTCAAAACTATCACAGCTCTGTTTACTTAGACTGTAACAGCTATGAGAAGTACAGAATTTTAAAATCATACGTCGCCTTTAAGTCATAGTAGACATCTACCCCAGCTGCTCTGTCCCCTTGGAGGTGCCTATTATTCTTCATTTTTTGTTCAGAGTACTGAAAGTCCATTTTTCTGATTTGCACTTTTATTAGATACCTAAAGTTTACAATTCTTCCTCTCCTCTTTTGTCTCTAAAAGCAAGTGTCATGTAGGAAGCTGCAGTTCAGGGCCCAAGTACTGATACCCTAGATGAACATTGCATCTCTATTGGAACAGTTCCATTTTTGCCTGGCACTAGTTAACATTGCATCTCTACTGGAACAGTTCCATTTTTGCCTGGCACTAGTTAACAGTTGCTATCGGAGCCTGGTGCTGTAAGTCACCCTTCAGAAACAGTTTTCATTTAGGTTTAATCTTCTTAATTAACTTGTAATCAGATTCTTATGGAAAGGCAGTAGTTGGACTTGGTATTAATTTATGCTTGGTGGCTTTATTATTAAAAATTCTTCACTGTTATGATGTGTTCAGCCTGATTTTCAGGATTTCAATTTTGTAAAAAAAAATGTTGGGCTACTAAAGTTTCAGCAAAATATACCTTTTTGTTCGTTCTATATTCTCTTCCAATTGCCAAACCCTTGAAGCATTAAGAACAAACTGAGGCTTATGAACAGCAGGAGTTATCAGTCATCACATGGTACTGACTGCCATGGGATATAGAGTCCAAGGCAAAAGTAACAAAAGACTATATATATTTACAGTATGGCTGGCATTCTGTGCAACTTGCACAGGGTGCATTAACACAGTTTCTAATAGAATTCAGAGGAGATTCACCTCATTTAACTTCAAACATCTGCACCAGTTACAAACCTAACCTAATTGTCTATATTCCTTTTATAATCAATGGCCTTTTATAGGCCATTTCTAGGGTATGATTCATCTGCCCTATTTTAGATGTCTTCTTCTGGATGAGATGAATCATGCTATAGATATCCCTAGTTCTAAAGTTAGGTGGGATGAAATGTACCATTTGTGTCTGTATTTTTTTAAAAAAAGTCATTATATTTAAAAAATGATGAGTTACACTATTAGTAACCAAGGAATGAATGGAGGGGAGAAACTGAATATTTAATTTGTACAAATTTTAGATGATGTGCATTATCAGCGTGCCCTCTATTATTACCACCTAACAGGTGGTAATGGTGAGAGCAGGGCTGGAGTATGCTGGGAGGTAGTGAGGCAAATGCACACACTGCTAAATCCTGTTACTCACATCCTAAGGACAGACAGTGGATTTTAGCCTTTAAAATGTCAATCTGATATTTCTGTGAAAACTTAATTCACTGGAAGAAGAAACCAAACAGAAAATAAACAATTAAAAAAAATCCCACAACCTCGTCCTATTCAGTAGTTCCATACCAGTCATCACAAAAAGACAGACTTCAAATCAATTTAATATAGTTTTGCAGAGCCTTTTATGGAAACGCAAATTAAACATGATTACTAACATATTGCTGTTTTCTGGGATTGTCCTTGTACTACCATCAGTGTGAATTTACACAGTAGCCTTTTGGCAGTGCTAAAATTCTTACTATTCCTACATGCTCCTGTCTACAAGAAACATCTTTCTTTCAGGCTTATAATTTCCCCTACTCGATCTATACCTATCTCTTGTTACCAATCGTGACCAAATAGAAGTTTTGCAATATTCAAATTCATGTTAATTAGAATAAATCGTAAAGGCCACCAGCATTCTCGTAGGTAACTTATTTCCGTTTTCCTTCCTTGGAAAGCTGAGAATAATACTGCTTTCCCACCTACCTGAGAGAGGTTGAAAGTAGCGACAGTGCTGTCATCATACAGAAGAATATTAATGGTGTCTAGCGCCCAGGTACTTTCAGCCAAAAGACCAGATTTAAGAGACATCATCACTCTCCAGGCCTCAGGAGTTACTGGAGAAAGAAAGAAAGAAAAACGTAAAACAGTATTAGTGCATCCTTGGAGACTGTTAATGAGTTCCTGAAAGACTAAACTGTGGCATTTGAGGATGCAAATTTAAATGAAACAATTTCTGAAACACTGGGTAAGACCCTGCTTTCAACACTTGGTCCTCTCCAGTATTTTGTAACTGCTGCTCAGCCTTAATACTGAAGAATATTCTAACAGGGCCATTCTTCCCAGCTTTGCTGAAGCTGAAATAATGGTACGAACTTAAAGAAGCTGACTAACCAAATAATCGGTAAACGCAGGTAAAATACTCTGTCAGGTGTGTGTAAAACTGAAGTATGAGAACTTGAATATAGGAAACGTAACCGGAGTTTAAGAGAATAAGGTACATGGGAAAGAATGGGGAGAAACAAACAGGACAAATAATATGGAATGAATAAATGGACCATTCAAGGGAGACAAGAGACTATAACTACACAGCAGAATAGCATGAGCTTTCATGGAACAAGAACCCAAAAAGCTTTGCTCAGCTAAATGTTGTATTGATGATTTAACAGACATTCTGAAGGACCTTTCAACACATCTCATTTGGAAATCTGAGGCAAGCTTCATTTTTAATGCATTTCTGGAGACCTCGGGTCTCCATATAAAATATTGCTTTCATTTCACGTAGATTGTCTGGGATGGGTTTTACCTATCATCCTCACTGATGCCTATGTTATTACATTTTTATTGAAGACAATCACATTCTAGTTACCAAAGTTCACTATTTGTCAAAAGAGTCTTAAAATGTGAATCAAAATCAAAGTCCCTTTCTTACAACTTATTTTGGTACTTAGCTTTTGTTTTGATGCTTACCAATATCTTTTGAGGTAATCTTTCGTCTTGGTTTTAAGACTGGTTGGGATGCTTCTACAGAGCCTGGGGGGAAGGTAATTTCTCGCCTAATCGGTGGTGGTTGGGGTGGAGGTCCTGTGACCTGTGAGACTGGAACTGTGGGTATAACCTTTTGCATCTTCATGGAGGGTAGGAAAGGAGACTTGCTTGGAGACATACGGTTTTCCAAAGAGCGCTGGAAGGATGCTGGACTTGGAGCTCTAGAGATGTGGTTTGGCATAGAGGGTGGTGTCTGGTAGGATGACTGAGGAGGTCTAGTGATAGGCTGCATGGAGGCTGAGGATGACATATAAGAAGGCTGACGTTGGTTGACATGAGAAGGCCACTGACTCTCATGGTTTATCCTCTGGTCAGGTACCATCATATCATCAGTGCGATTCATCCCTGGATACGGTGGGGCCTGTGCAGGGCCTCCTGGACCTTGCCTATTCTGGTAAGGGTAAGGCATATCATTTCGTGTTGGCCACATGTTCTGCTGAGGACCTTCACTGGAAGATGACGATTGCATGGGGCCACCAATCATCTGGGGAGGTATTCCATGCTGCTGCATTTGTCCTGGGCCCTGCATCCTCTCCCTGTTATACGGATACGGATACTGTCCCTGCATGGGCCTCCTGTCAGGCCCTGTGTAAGCGCTGCTGTACTGGTTATACATTTCCTGTTGCTGGTTGCCATACTGCATGTTATACATATCCCCTTCATGGCGCTTGGCTGGAGGCCCATACATGCCATCCATGTGTCGCTTATAGTTCTGAAAAAGAATTTTGGAAAAATGTTGCACTTTTACTCCACACACAATACAAATATACTGGCTGAAAGTTCATTAAAACAGCTGAAAGCGCCTAGTTCTAGAGGGATCATGCTGATACCAGAGTCAGGCGTGCAGTGCTATGGTTAGGCTTGTCCAATGCTTTCTTTTAAAGCCTCTGTTTTGCTGTGCTTACAACTGAATACTAAAAGGAAACTTATCCTTGGGCTAAATTTTCTTACGCTTGCTCTGATTTTCTCCCTTTCCCTTTCCTTTTCTATCTGTCAGATTAAATTCCACTGGTCATTTCAGACATGCATGAAAAGGCAACAGTCCTCATCAACTAAAATATTTTCACTTCTTTTTTTATGCTTAGTCTGCTAAGAAGAAAAATCTTAAAAAATATTCAAAACCACCCCGTGAATCTTTTCAAGAGACTAGCACTGAATAAACTCTTCAAGTAACAAGATATGGTGCAAGCACGCACGTCTGAGACACTGGATCTTACGACAGGACATAGGCTACACACGGTAAATTTATTAGGAGAAAACATTCTGCTGCATTTGATACTCTGTGTAATTCCCAGGAATGTGGTCCTGTTTGGGCAACCATCCTCTTCCCAAATCATCCTATAATCACATTTAATTTACTGTGAGATTATTACAGCAAATGGTCACATCCAAACATTCTGTTCTAGTTTATGCAGGTTCTTACCCTGCTGTTCAGTAATGAATTAAGCAATGTAACCAACAGCTGCCACCTATGGTTTATTCCCTCTTTGTTTCTCACCCTCTCAAGTGGGGAATGTTGTGTGAGGTAAGCTGTTTTACCTCGGGGAGAGCTGAGTGGTTTTTAAACCATATAAGCTTGTATGTATTTATGTTTAAGATGGCAGAACAAAAAAAAGACATGTTGCTGTTTGAAGGGAAGGTGGTAAGGTTTGCAGCAGTCCTTAGTTCCTGTGGGAGTTTGTTCTACAGTTCAAACCACACTGAGTGCTCTGAAGCAAAAAATGTGAATTAAATGGGTGATTTTTGAATATACGATCTATGGCAAATTCAAAGTTACAGCTCCCCCGGAAACTGTAGCTCACTCACATTGCACAATGTATACTAATGTACTACAGTTAAGATCAGATAAAATTCTGTATGTATTCAATATGAGAAAGTTAAAACAGCTCTGGGATTCATAAACTCATCTTCCAACTTTGGTGCACATAAAACCACAAGTACTATATTGCTTAAAGGATTTTTTTTTTTTTTGAAAACTTGCTATAGAGCTGTCTGGCTATCTGAGAAACACCTCTTTCCAGCCTTACATGAACTACTTGCTGTACTGCATTCCACCCTTGGGGCCAATTCATACATTAAGAAATGACTTGGCAGTTGCCACACCTAAAAAGGTGGTGTTTGCTTTGCCGTAGTGACTCAGTGCTTACAGTAGACACTTGGGACTGAAGCATCTGCCTTTTTAAAAGCACTTCAGCACTCTTGTATATGTAGTGGCAACATGCCTAATGGTACCAGTGCTGAGGCCAGTGATGCACCTGAGCTCCCCACTCCTGTGTAAAGGTTCAGCAAGAAACTCAGGCTGCACAATGTGACACTCTCTCTCCACTGGGGATGTGGAATTCTGAGACTTCCCAAAAGAAAAAACAACACAAGTCACCTGCTGTATAATAGCTCTTGGGGTATAAGAGGAATTGAAAACCCTGGCTCAAAGTGTTTCATTAGCCCCAGGAGTTCATGCTCCAATCACCTCCTTTCCAGGTCATTCTCTAGCCTTCAGGCTACAGATAAAGCTTTGAAAGGGTCATTTTTCACATTCTTCTGGTACCACTACAGAGTAAGACTTAGGAAATTGTAAATAAGCGAGTGGCAACTGAATCTCTAGCTAAATGAAGAAGTGAAACCCTCTGGGGATGGGAGGGGGAGGCCGAGGCTGGTCAGGATCGTTGTCCTTCATTCTTCACTGCTTTTCTGCATTAATGCATTTTGCATTCAAGAGCCATTGTACAAAGTATATAAACAGCACTAAGGACAGGGCCAAATATATTTTTACAAATTCTAGCTGTCTTCTTGCTTAAATGAACATGTAGTTAATATATTCCCTGTACACGTTAGCATGGAATATCACACACTGTTCTGTTACATATCTTCGCGATTTCCCCACTAAATCACCTGGACTGCTAGCACGTGCTCATCATAAAGAACAACAAAACAGTTTTTTGATTACGCTGCTTTTGAGATGTTATGAGCCAAAGAGATATGCAAGAAATTCTGAAACTGAAATTTATATACATTCTTAGTACAGTGAAATCTAAGATCTTTCGGGTTCTCCCCACCTCTGCCCTGAATTTCCTAGTAAAACTCTATCCTGAACTGAAAAGGACTATCTGAAACTGGCTGAAAACTAGTTTACATTTTACTTTTTTTTATTATAAGGAAATTTTTTTTTATTTTGGAAGCTAACTAACTTCAAGTATTTTATGACTAGGAATGAATTAATAACACATAGAATGAAACTGATCCTGTTGGAGTTTTGCTATTGACTTGTAATATGGGATTTTGCTCACAAGGTATGAATCATACACCTAACAAAAACCCCCTTATTAATTAATATAATTTGCATTTTTGAAGTTATTACAGAGTTGGGGAGACTAGAATGTGAAAATGTTTAAACAATTTTTAACATTAATAATATTCTCTCTTATGTATTTCTACCATATTATTACTAGAGATAACATGTGGGAATGACACCTGATCTATGTTAAAGATAGGTAGCTCATATGACCCACAACAGCACTGTAAATAATTGAGAGTGCTGCACATTTTACTTTGCTCCAGTTTTCTGCTGGGTTCACTTGGCTGCATGACATTAAGTTAAGGCCCTTCAACCTGCCAGCCAAGCAGCTTTCCTATTTGTTTCTGGAATTGAGGCAACGTCACTTTACTAGTCTATGCATTATAGTTTCCCAGTCTGTTGGTTATTAACTTGGGACAATCACTTGATGTACATCCAAAGCCACAAACATCTGTTAGAATTTACACTCTTCCAGTGTAATGAGCACATCTTCCTATAGCTGCACATACATTGCTTATCCATACGAGCTGTGATTTTGACCTGAAGTATGGTGCTCCTCGGTGCCAAGTGATATATATTGTATATACAAATGTGGTGAATTTTATTAAACAAATATTATGAATATAGCTGTTTTCCCCTCTTCTACCTGCTGCTGTGGATACATTCCAGGTTGATGTCCTCCATATGGTGGCTGTCCTGAGGGAGGTCCTTGTCCTGGATACTGCTGCCCATATGGTTCATGCCTAAAATAAAGCATTCAAATCAACACTTAGAGCTGCTGGGATTTCCAAGCCACCAGGAAAAGTAATCTGATGGTCTTGCACGTTGAAGATATTTGCTGTCTGGAAACAAGGTGAAGGTACAGTATGGTATGGTCCTGAGTCTAATGTAGTAAGCTCCACTGGAGCTGGCAGTGGTAGGAAAGAAGACAAAGGAGGAGTAGTGAAGATTCAACAGAGAGGTTTATAGGGAGCAATCAGGAATGGGAACAGGGTACGGTCACCAAAGAGGTAAGAAAGGCAGCTGCAGCCGTTGGGACCCATCTTTGGTGGAAATGTATCTGATGTACAGCTCAAAGGTTGCAAGTCAAATTCTTGTGTTTTAACATGCCAGTCTACTAGCAAGCTACTTTCTGGATTATTTAAGAATATAATCAAGAGTTAACTGCTGGTGTGAAATGAGTAAAAACAGTACTCAAAAGTTTGTTAATATTCATGTCTTTTTTAATTAAAGCTACATAATGAAGCATACATGTAAGAGATAGAGTTGCACTGCACTTGGAAACTTACCTGTGGCCTTTTAAGACCTCTGAGGAGCACTACAGTGTAACAGCAATACTTTGAGCATATCTGAATGAAATTTAGGTTGCTGAAATGAAGTACTTGGAAAGTATTAAGACTGATAAATAATGCTATATTGCAGGCCAACATGTCTGTAATTCCTCTCTGTACACTACCAGTGAGAACACATCTATGATTAGAGCATAATTATGGAAGTAATATATCAGGGAGAGTCACAGAAACAGAGGACTTGGGAAGCTGATGTGTTGAAAGAACTAATGGGATCTAATTTTTCCAAAAGCATAGAAAGCTTTTTTTTTTTTTTTGAGATGACCAGACTGAAAGAAATAGCAGTTCAGTATCTCCTAAAATTATCATGTGGATATAGAGAAACTATCTAATGCTGGTTAAAAGAGCAATATAACTGATGGGAGTTGTCCTCAGCTGTCTGAGATGGTACATGCAGTAAGATAAAACTGAGCAAAGATACACACATGTTATATGTAAGGGAACACTTTCTAAATGTTCAGTTTGTCAGCCGGGGATAACCACAAGCCAAGTGAAATTGTGGAAGCTTCGTTAAGTGGTGTCATTCAATGCTGCTCTGGAGAACTTGGGCTTATAAATTATGTTCTAGTTCAATGATGGCAGGCTGACACACAAGGTAGGATGTACACACCTTTTCTAACATCTCTGATTCTACAACTACAGAAAGTTCACTGATTCAACCAAACCTCTTCCTCCCTGCAAGAAACTGAACCAACAGTAAAAGCCTAAACAAGAACAGGCAAAAGAGAACTAACGCACCAAGAGGCCACATATTCTGTCTATGTGCTCTCCCAGAGACAGCTAGCACTCGTTAGCTGGTTATTGCAGGTATTACAAACAGAAATCAGGGTTCACCTTTGCTGGCCAGGGTAACAGTTAGCAGAGTACATGCTTGGGTCACTGTTTGAAGGCACCATGTTGCTTTGACCAGGTGGTCTCATACTGCCTTCAAGACCCAGCACATGATCCTACCTAAAAAATGACAAAGGAGACCTCATTCTGTAAAAGCACTTATTCTCCAAAATTGTCAACCAAACAAACCAAATCATGTCCCTTAAAGAGAACACTCTCTTGACTTAACACCTTCTGCTGGAACCCTCACTCTCACTGACTCCCCAGCACTGTGACCTGTTGAACAATTTCATTGTATTTGTTTTATTCTACATATCTACTACTTAAAACTACCAACTGAAAACCAGTCTGTCATTACACTTGAAAGACCCACACTGCACCACTTTGTCTATCACCAGGAAACAAAAAGTGGACCTGAAGTACACAGCCAAATGAAAGAGAAAGTCAGAGCTGCGAAGCCTACCAGAATACTTAATATAATCCAAACATTCCCAAACCATTCTGCTTTTGCTATACCAATGCTTAGACATCAGTGATTTTACAGATTTTTTTTTTCCCAATGCCTTTCTCCCAGCTAAACAAAAGAGGACCACATTTATTTTGTGTACTTCATGAAAGACAAACTTACAAGGGTCCTATTGGACACTTTGCAAGTGACCCTACAGCTCAGACAACAAACTCCAAAGTCTCCAAAGGCACTAACAGACCACAAACCAGACACATGCAGACGGTGCACTGTTTTTCATAAAAAGCCAACCAACAATTGTTTAGGTGAAAACATGGCCAGAAGACTAACTTAAGTGCTACTTTATGCCATCACATTACAGTCCAGCCCAGCCATCATCTGAAGGCAGCTGTCAAACACACCCACAAGCTGATCAGCTGCAGCTTAAGTGATTCCTAAGGTATGACAATTCCTCGTTATTAATTTCTGTGGACAGTTAGGCTCAGTTATTATCAGTGGTTTGACTCCCAGTGATTTAGTGCAAAGCTGTAAGAAATGTAGGCTGCTATGTTCTCTGCAAGACGCAATGGGAAAATGAGAAAGGGAGAGAGAGGATCATTTTCACTAATGGGCTTTGCTTTTTCTTAAAGATCGACTCACCTTCTGTCATAACCACTTCCATAAGAAAACTGCTGTCGCTGGCTCATGCTCATGTTGGACATTGCTCCAGATGGACTCTGGTTATACATATCTTGTATTCCACTGTTAGGCATTTGTCCAGGGGTCATGAAAGGCTCATTGCTTCCAGGCACTGCAACAGTAAGGGAAATTAAATTTATTATTCTGGATGTTTGAAGATATCTTTCTGTTAAATGAAGTATCTTAAAATAATGTTCAGATCCCTAACACTGCCAAGGAGAATTAGCTGGTGTCTGACAAGCTCTCTGAGGTCTGATGAAAACGCATGAAGCAGCACCACGACCAAGATGATGGGTATAATATTAAGGAGCTGCAAGTGAGGAAAGAAATCTCATCCCATGGAACTGAGCTCATCAGGCACCAGGCAGCTTCTTCCCTCTGGTCTTCACAGCTGAAGATGAACTTGCTCTTGTTCTTTTCACCCCAAACAATGCTAAATATGAATGCAAACATAAGTCTTACAAAACAGATGAAAGTAAATCTCCTAGTTTGAATTACAAAGCTGTCAGCATCAGGCTTTTATTTCCCCTCATAAAACCCTCATACACACATATACAATAATTTAGTCCTGGAAAGGATACTGTATCCTAATGTAGCTTCTCAAGCAGGATGGGCACATTCCAGTGGTCCAAGAAAAGGCACATTGACTATTACCGGATATAAATCGCTGAGCAAATAGAAGAGACCCTAGCCTTTAGTCTCTCATAGTAGATACAGAACAGAGATATTTCTGTTTCAACAGGATAAAAGTGAAATGTATGACCCACTTAATCTCACATGGATATAAAACCTAAAGAGAATCTAAAGGCAGAGGGGGTTTTCCCTTCCTCCAACTGTGTTACATGTTAGTGACTACAGTCCAGGCAAAAGGATTTAAAGAAAAGGTTAAAAAAAAAATCACATCAGATTAGCTATCACTTTCAAAGCATTTCTTCACTTCACCACATCTCTTTCTGGCCCTGATTTCTGTGCCTCTTCTTCCCATTCATCCCCATTGCTCCCTTTCAGTTTACACTTCACCTCCTCCACCTGCTCTTCTCTTTGCAGCCACTGTGAGCCCTGCTTGTCTTCTCTCCTCCCATTTTCCTACATACGAGGCACGCAAGATTGATTAATTTTAAGCACATTTTACAATACCCACAAAACCATCTGTAGGTTAAGTGCCCAGAAGGACAAGAGTCAGTTTTGACATTAATTTTAAATTTTGCTTTCTAAAAATAAACAAACTGTGACAGTGTTTATCACCTTTTGCCAGGGGCTGTCCAAGTGAGAAAAAAAATTAGCTTTCCTATTCTGAAAAATATGTAAACTGAGACAGCCATTAGGAGACTTGCTCAGTTCTACACTGTGAACTTCCTAGTTCAGACCTACTACAACCAGGCATGTTCCTTCACCACTTCACATTCTAACAGTGAAGCCCAGCATCTGACTTGTAGAGTGGCTAACCAACTTCAAGAAAGATAAAATATAACCCTATGAATTTATGCCTGAAATGTATTCCTATAAGCATTTTTGGGATTCCGTTAATTCCAAAATGAACAGTGTGACTCTGAGTGGGGAAAATATGACACAGACCAGAATGACACACAATTGCACTGCACCTCTCTTTTTGCTACAAGGTTATGAATGGCAAAATCAACAAAGCGATAAAGCTCATTCTGACTTGAACATCTTGATTACACAGACATAGGGAAGAACACTTAAGCTCCCACGAAGAAAATACCTTTTCTCATTCCACCGAAAGGATCTTTATTCGGCTCATATGGCATCCTTCCCATCATATCTGGCATGTTTATTCCCTGCTGGTATGGTGCATTTGGCGTCATGGAGTTTCGCTTTGGGAATGCTGAATCACTTACATCAGAAAAGGGATCGTGCACACTAACTGCGCTGTTTCTAGCAGATGAAAAAAAGAAGGCATTAACACCATGTATTGTGAAAACAGACAACTATACTAGAACTAGCTGTGGCAGTGATCAGTGCAGGATACATCTGACGAAGATGCAAAAGACTTTCATAATGGACAATCATTAAAAAACCCACCCATTTTTCCCCCAAGCATCTTTGTCTACTCACCTTAGAGATCACGGTTTTTCATCTCATTCCACTGTTTGTGCATTCCTATTACTTTTATATAAAAACCTAAACCTTTCTGAAATTTCACTAAGCTGTTTTGCTGGTTTTTACATAGTGAAAGAACACTCAATCTGGATTGAAGATGATTAAAAAAGGCTCTTGCTATCCTTTCTGCAGTATTACAGGGGGAGAAAAAAGAACCTAAGTACATTAAGTTTGGAGTGTCTCTGTCCTTAGTTCAGAGCTCAGCTGTGTTCCTGCTAAACTCATAAACAACCATTTTGCTGGAGTTTAGTGGACTAAGAATCCTTAATGAATGGTGAGAATTCACTTTGGATTAAGCTGGTCTGCATCTTACAGGACACAGAAGTGAAAAGGATCCCTTGGTCCTTGCAGGTGAACTCTCTGTTCTCTCAACCACTGCTACTGTATATGCTTTTTGTAATTTCAATATAAGTAACACATGAAAAACACATATTTCTCCTTCCTGAGCTTGTCTGGTGGACCTGTGTACCAGAGGAGTACAGGGTAAAAAAGGAAAGGAAGGTTGTGGTTCTAACCTGGTGCTGTTGGGTTCCACCTTCCTTGCTACTATTCACATATTCACACCTGTCCCTTTGCACTGGTGCTTGTCTGATCCCTCCCTGGTGTTTAGAAAGCTAATGCACCTTCTACTCCTTCCTCCCTTTTGCTCTCTCCCCTCCAAAAATACACCATTTTCTGCCACTTTTCAGGCTCTGACTGGTTCACCACGTCCTCAGATAATGCCTAAGCAGCTAGGAAAGACTGTATTAAACTGCTGTAGAACAACAAAAAAAGGAAGCAAAGCCCTTTTCATACCTGCCGCCCTGCATAGGTGTCATCTGTCCATGAGGTGTGGATGCTGGTGTTGGGGGCTTCAAATCACCTGGCACTTCTGTCATGGAATTACTACCAGTGGACTGTGGAGTCTGTGGGCCTTGCAAGGAACCAGAATTAGCTGGGAAATTAAGGAAAAAGGAAGTATTAAAAGGTAATAGTCAAATTCCTTTGGAAATAATAATCATCAAGGAAATCAACCGGTTCTTTCCCCCAGAAGCCAGTGTATATCATAATCCATCACAGTACTTTCTAACTTCCCCAAAATCCTCTGAGATCAGGATATGCTGTGCAGTAATAGCCATCATCTTTCCTAGAACCATGAATTTAATCTGCTGCCTGAAGCAACATGAATGGAAATCATCTAGATGAAGGATCATTTAAATCAGAGGTCAGAGATACAAAGTTAATTGTCTATAGTTTACAACAGAATAAATGAAGGTTGTTCTTTGGCACAGCTTCTTCATATAATCACTATCACAACACATATATTTATAAGGCAAATTTCAGTCAAAGCTTTTTATCACAAATTTAAACTGCTATATTGATATAAATCCATACTTGCATTTAGCACTGAAAGACAGACATTTCCATGGTGAAACATGGCAAATGATTAGTGGCACACTGCAACCCTACGTCATCTTTGAGACAGCATGGCAAAAGATCAATTTAAGAAATGCAAAAGGCAATCTGGGATCAGAATAAAATGATAACTGAACACAGAATTTGAACATAAGGCTATAGCTAACGCTCCTAGAAGAATTGTAAAAATAGCAACAGACCTCTTCACAAGACATAGTTAGGGTCAGTCATTGTAAAGCATATGTAACAAGACCAGGTAAATTCTGCAAAGCATCCATTTCATGTGCAAAAACTCATACGCTGAGATCTGAGAAAGCAATAGAGTAACTGCACTAGTGTTCTCTTTAACCATGGTAAATAGCTTGATATTCTTGATATGTCAAGTGTAGAAAAGCATTTACTGTTGTATTCTGATGAGACTGAGCAGCAATAAGGGCATTACATGAATGCATCACATTAGATAATGATAAAATACATCCAGACCAGTCCTTTAGAGTAGACACCAAAGTTACTCTTTCCATATGAGTACTGAGGAGAAACAGTCCCAAACCCCAAAGATCTGACGTAGTAATTTTATAACTTATGATTTAGAAGGTGCTAAGTAGGAATTAGTAGCAACATCTAAGCCTTGGATCTGGTTGGCTTTGCAGCAGAAATTCTATATAAGGAGAGCTTGTAGGATTCAAGTCTTTAGATGCAGTTGTGAAAAAAATTACCAACAGAAAAAATGCAAAAATCTAACAGACTTAGAAAGACATGGATTTGGCTTGAGAGGTCCTTCTTTTTTATGAACTGTCACGTAAGCATTTTATAATGCCTGACTATCTACGTTCAACAACCAATTAACAAAACTTTATAAATTACTGTTAGAGGGAAAGTTGGAACAAGCAGTATGGGCTTTTCTTCTGTATGTGAAAGAGAGAGTAGTTTATAATTGACTCAGAATCCTAGAACACTCATCATCTTGACAGGCAGAGCTTGTTTTTAACTGAAGAACACCTCTTTTATATGTGTTTCATTTATATCTGTAACACATGTTCCCCTATCTGGAAATCAGTCTCAGTAGCAAGTGCATATGTAAAATCCACATTGTGTAGACCACATTGTTCCTGCCCTCAGCTTTCTGAGGCATGTTTGGATTATGCTCACATAGTAATGAGGTTCAAAAAAAAGTTTAAGAAAAGCTCTCTGATTGCATTAATACAGTAACAACAACATTTGCAACAACTAATGCTACAGTTAACTGAAATCTTCTAGTGCTATAATAAAACTAATCCCTGTGATTAAAAAAAATAAAACCATCATATTCACATAAAATGAGCCCTTTGTATACATGACCCTTAAGGGAGCCAGGATCATTCTTTTGCCCTTGAGCTTTAATCACAATTCTAGATTCATCTAAAACATTTGAGAGCATTTCTGAGTTATGCCACACATTGTCACATACCATCTTGTTATATCAGGAACAGGTAAGTAAACATCTCAGTGTACCCATATACTTGCTGTACATTTTGATCATGCCTAACCATGCATATTTCTCCTATGGTAGGCTAATAAGCAGCAATTAAGTTCTTCTCTATCCTACCTGAGCAAGAGCTTAATTCATATCTCAAGTAAACCTAAGGAAAACAAGTAAAATGTTTTCTTAGTATTTATGGGCTGCAGGAATACAGACTCTTTTATTATTAATAACAATGTGTTTTATATAATCTCATACAATGAAAAGTTTAAAAGCAAAAAGAAGATATCCAACTGAGAAGCTACATGTGAAATTTCTATCTTCTACGTGGCAGCTATAGGGTTGGTTATTTTTCCTCAGACTGGTTATAAATGGAAGGTAAATGCTATCGTGAGAAGTGCAAAGTTTCTGGTATTTCTTTGTAATACGCTTTACCCTTGACCTCCACTGGGTCAGGGACACATCTATGGAATAGGGACTGCAAATGTTTCAATCTCTGGATCAGGACACCATCGACCAGTAAGAGCCCATATTTCATATTTCACTTTATACTGTACATTTTCTAAGTTTTTTATTACTTAAGATATTTAATTTTGATTGTGGACATCCTGAAATAGAAAATGCATCTTTTAAAGAGCTTTATAAGCTCCAGTATTAACAAAGAGCTAAGAAGGAAGACAAACAATATTCTTTCACAAAAAGATGATCCCTGCTTACATGATTCTGCAGCTATCTTGGGCATGTCCAGGATAAAACCTGTGTGTACATAGCTACTGAATTCCTCATCACATCTACATCTAAGCAACACTTATCTTCCAAGTATCATAACAGATTCGTAAGAATATGCTTTTAACAATACAAACTACATAAAAAAATGAACAAAATCAACATCTTGGTCACTAGAAGATGAGGTCCTACAAACTCTTCCACAGTTCACTCCATGGCATATTCTCTGCAGCATGGAATTATAGTACTGGCATGACTTTTTTCCCACAAAACCTGCAAGGCTGAAACTACTGCTTTCAGAAAATACCCTTTATATACCAGAAAAGAAACAAGCAGCTAAGAAAGATATAAAATCTTTCTCTTGCCAGCAATTTTTAACTTTCAGGAAAAAAAAAAGGAAAGAAGAATGCAACCTCTTGAAACTCCATTAATATGAGGCCTGACATGCTCTCTAGGATATCCCTACCTTTTGCCAGAAGCTACAAATGTATACTCTAAAGTAAACAATGGAAAGGTTACTGAAGGTTAAGTACATTCACATACTTCAGAGCGAAGAGCCAGCCGCCACGCTGGGAAGATAATTTACACAGCACGAACCCAGTGCCCCAGTTAGGCTGGGCTGGGGCTGCTGCTGCTGCAGAGCCCCCTGGGCTGGCACTGAGGCAGGCACAGGGGCAGCTCTGCCTGTCCCCCCACCGCCCCCAGCCCCTCGGCCATCCATCTTCAGTGGGGATTCCCTGGCTGCCTCCTGACACGCTCCATGACATCACCTGCCTGCTAATAATAGCACTGCAGCAGCCACCTGCCAGCAGAGACGGATGGGTTTGGTTACAGACACTCATTGAATGGCTGTGTCGTGTCCCCCCCACCATCCCCCTCCCCAACTCTTGTTTCTCTGCTGTCAAGGAAACACAAGGAACACGCTCTCGCTCCCTCTTTCCAGCACAAGCACACGATTTTTCCAGGTTTGCTGTAATGAAATCTCTGTTGACATCAGGGCCAGCTGCTGAGTGTTACTCATGAGCATCCTCGGCCGTACCACTCCGGCCATCCTGTTCATCAGTATAGGATAGACTCTCAGCCTGTAATTTTTAGAGTCATGCATACATAACTGCACACTGCAACTAAGAATTTAGAGTGCCAGAGTACAGCAGTGGAAAATAACCCCTTCATGCTGACTCTCTTTTGGAATTTGTTCTCCAGCATCCATTAGTGCTTAGTGTAAAGGCCTCCAGAATTCTGCTCAGTTTAGAACTTGCCACATAATTTGTAGGTATTCTGATCAAAACTATCAAACAACACATGACAGAAAGAGCATTTTGTCTTTGCACCCACTTCTGGAAAGCACTGGAGCACCAGAAGGATGCTTAAGAAGACCTACAATGCCTCTCCCTCTATAAGGGATTTTCTACACAGCGAAAGAGTCATCAACAATTGACATGGACCTTGGCACAGACCCAGCCATCAGGACACAAGGCCAACAGGGGTCCTCTAATAGTTAGCCTGTCATTATGCATCTGCTGCTGGTCATCACTGCTGATGGCATTACCTGACCCAGACAGATTTAAGCTGTGACACAAAGGCCTCAGCCTACCACAAGCATGTTGCCAACTTCCACTGCCTCACAGCAGTGCAAGGCACACTAAAACACATTCAAGCCCCCACCTCTCCCCAGGAGCTTTATTTAAGAACAGAAGAGGCTGTGACAGTGATATGAAGCCAGAACACTTATCAAAATGGGCACTTAATCCTAACCCTAACACCTTGGCTACTGTGCAGACCTCTGCTGAACAAGGCCAAACAGCCTGTCACTTTGCTGCTCTACTCTCACTCCCTTTTTATTCAACTTCTTATAATTGCTGACACTATCGTGAATTGCACCGTACACAGCACTACATTTACTCTTTTACATAACATTTACCTTATTAATTATGTAGTAAAAACCAGAAGTGATGGGAAAGTACCAAATACAGTGCTACAAGCAAATGGACCCAGACCACTGTCTTGCAGTCCCATAAATTTGACTTACATATCACATCCTTTCCTTGACTGTCTTCTTCTATATGAGTCTCCTTGCCATGATTGTAGCACTGTGTTTTCTAGCATTCCCTCTACTAGGAGTGCATTCTAAAGGTCACCTGTGAGGCAGTCACGTAACCACCCCTTGGATGTGAGACATCTGTAAGAACAGATTTGCTCTAAGCTGTGCTTCAGCCTGGTCCCACCTTGCATAATATCTATCTAGGAACTACAACTACATAGGAACTGAATTCTCTGTACCAGAAAGGCTGCCAGTCCCAATGTATTCTTATGAGCAATTGAAATTACTTATTTTTAAAAGTTTTATGAAGATCACTTGACTTTTAAGCTCTCAAGACTTGTTTCATAGCATCAGCTTGTTAGATTGGACCACACACAACACCCTCTGCTCTGAGACAAGTCCCTCTGCTCTTCTATCAGAATTAACTTCAGCCCTAATACTGTAACTAGTTCACAGCAAATGGATTTGGCTTCGAAGTGGCTCTGCCTACACTGAGCTAACTGCACCAGAGGGGCTAATGGTTAAAGCAAGGACCTTTGGAGGCTACTGTTTCTTGTTGTACTGGGCTCCTGTTCCCTCAGAATGCCAAAGAGTAACAGATTATCTAAAGTATGTCTACAACTCAGCTTCTTTTGTGCAGTTAAAATGTTAATGTTGGTATATACTAAAGCAAAAGGAACAAGAAAAAAGCTGACTATTAAAGAGAACAAGCTTGTACTCTCCGAGGCATCTATACCTCAGCGGGATTTCATGTACTAAAGCTGATACACACTGGGAAAGCCTTTCTCCGTACAGAAGTGCAGTCCCATTCAGTGACACGAGCCCTTTTCTCTCCAACAAAACAAACCTTGAGATCTTTGCTTGCTTTCCCCTCTTCTAGTCTCTATGTCCTGCTGTGTTTTTATTTTAGAAAAATAGTTTCAGTTCTCCTCATAGACAGCTTGTTTGAATGTTATGATAAATTTAAACTTGGACTTTGCCATTGTCATCTGTAGCATCATGATGCAAAAGGACCCTATAAGAGTGGTACATCTGACACTTCTATTACTTTGTTTCATGTTTACATATTTAAATAACAATTCTTCACCTCAAAATTCAGCTGATTTACAGCAATCATTCCCAAATAATTTATAAAGGGGTAAGGGAGGAGAGAGCAAAGCAAAATACTCTTTCATTTTTAGAAACAGATTAATTTCCTCTTCACTGTCCTTAACAAGTCTAACAGTTTCAGCTCCCCTTATCAGTCTTCTCAGAAGGTGATGGGCATCTCCAACATATTTTATCTTTTGCAGCTGTGCACATTCGGGACACGCTATTCTCATATGAGAGAAAAACATTTGGACTGTGGGCTTCACTTCTAGTACCAAGTGTTTTTCTCCATTGTCTAAACTTGCATTGCAAAGTAACCTAGTCATCCTCTCTATTAAACAATCATCACGGGGTACCTTGTAACCCTAGGTGTTAACAAGATGAAGGAAGTATTTCAGTTATTACACAGAGAGATGTACATAGGAAGATTTTAACTGAACACTCCCCCAAATCCCTACAGTGATTAAATCAGGCTGAGAAAGATTTAAGCCTTATCGCTGTTATCTTTTTCTGTACTGACAAAGCACTACCATAAGAAATGACCAAGGCCAGAACTTTATTATATGATTACAAAGGTCTTTGTCATTTTCTAGTAGCCATGATATGGTACTGGAGTCATGCAACTACTAACTGGCTTCAGAGCTTACTGAGTCCCTGACTGTCTACATCCCATTTTCAGCCAGTAAACTACACTAACAGAAATTAAGTTACTTTATATTTTCCCAAAAGTGCCTTCTAATGGAGGAAACTGCTGTAAACATTCCAAGAATTATATTCTACTGGCAATAACAGATGGTGGTCTGCCAAACAGTAATTGTGACAGTAGTTCACAAATTTTGTCAAATTATTTTGTGGGTCAGAAAAGCTAATAATCAAAAGAATAATCCAAAATAATCAAAGGATTTTTTCCCTTTTCTATGTGTAGTCCAGAAGTCAACATCACAGACTAATTCCACAACAACTTCCATACTTAAAATGTTTCTACTTAAGAGAATTGTCCTGCCTTGAATATCAATTGTGACAATCCAATCTTGAGAATCTTAAGTTAAATGAATTTAGAAGGAAAACAGTGGTTTCAAACACCACACCACACATGCAAAAAGAAAAGCCAAAATAAAGCTATTCCAGTTCCAATTTTTCAGATGAGAAGATAAACACAGTGATGCTAATGACTTATGTGACACACAGGATTAGCAACAAAAGAACACAGAGTGTGTCTCCAAACTAGGAGGTCTGGCAGTGGGGATATACCATACTCTCAGCTCTCCATCTGCCACACATTCAACAAGAGCTGTATCAGAGCAACCATCTGAGACCTGCTGATAAGTCCAGCATCTGCCGTCCTTACTCCAACTGAAGCTTTACTGACCAACAGTTGTCTTGAAAATGCAGCTTCAGCATCACAGCAAGGAAAGTACAAATACCAGAGTCTGACCTGTAAGCAAATGGATGCCCCTTTCAGTATCAGCTGCCTCCTGTGTTACAGTGCAAGCACATCTGTGCAGAACGCTATTTTTTTTACTATGCCCATGTAGCTCTGAATATTAAGGGTACACTGGCACACATCTTTGTATGCTGGAGTGAGAAAGGACAAACCAGACTCATGTCTGTGGATGGCCCTTCAGAGTTAAATCTGACTCAGGAGCTAGCTGTAAGTTTGAGAACAAGATGCCAACAACAGATTTATCCTTGCCGTTTGTCCAGCATTAGCAACACATGCTTCCAAATACATAAAGTGCAACCCAGTATGCTTTGCATCCACAAACGGTTGTGTAAGAGGATGCAGTTTATCTGACTTACCAGGAGATGGCGGCTGAATCTTAGGTTGTTTCTTGGTATCTCCAGTGCTGAAGACTTCTGGAGGGGGCTCCTCCCCTCGCTCGATCTTGCACTCGAAGGCAAACAGGTACTGGATGTATTGTTTTTTCAGGGAGCTGGCTGCGCTGCTCGAAGTGCCAACGTTCAAGGTGGTTGCCAGCTCACGCCACTTCTTGTTTTTATTAACCTAGCAAAGTAAACGGCAGAATCATTGGTTTGCAGCAAAGTGTTTTGTTTAAGTCAGGAAACAAAAAAGGAGGAAAAAAAAAAGCACTTAATGTCTTGGTTTACTTTTTTTTATTTTCCTCTTTTAACTAATGCTCATTACTCCCACACGCAGTAATGCGCAGACAGCATTTACAGTTATAAAACCATTAAGGAACCTGCTGATAGCTACATAAAAAGCTTTGCTTGTAGAGAGTCTTCTGCATGGTGCATCCTTTAAATGCCTTTCACCCTTCCAGGGCCTATGCTCTTCAGTTAGCAATCCATCTCCAAGCAAATTCCTGCTCCTCCCTGACACCCACCCACACCCACCCCATTCTAATTAGGAAGTAGCTTCTAAAAACTAATTTAGAAAGCAATAACAGCATTATTCTGCAATTTAAGTGTTTGAGCATTGATATGAAAAATAAATTTTTCTCCCAAATAGCCACCAGCTGTCAAACAGTTCAGCCTGTAATTCCTGCTTCAAGTCCTTTCACTTTACTGCATCTTGCAGGGACAGATCAATGATCCTCTGGCTAGATGAGAGGCAGGTTGAAGCCAGGCCCCTTAATTAATTAAGGCAGACTTCAAACACACGGGGCTAGTCCAGCAATACTCTGTATTACAATGCTGACTGCACAACTCCGCAGCAAGTCTTGTTTGCAGTGTAAGGCTGAGAATATTGAAAGACTCTGCTCCTGAGTTCCTCAAACACAGCTGATCTGTAATAACAACGAAGTTCATTTGTCATCCTGGATGATGCCACTGGCTCACTCAGCTGCACCACTCACAGCAGCCTGTGTTCTTGCTGTAATACCTGATGCTCTCAAGTTCATTCAACAGTTATGCAACTGTTAGGTATGATCCAAGGAGGGGGATCAGCACTAAATTAAATGGGTTTTAAACATCTGAGACTCAGCTTTTGTTGGGGAACAATCCTGATTCCATGCTGTCTACTAATTGCCCTGAGGCCTGAGATTGCAATGACTCCAACTTAACTTGTATAGCTAGAAAGGTTATCATTAGCCATACTGTTCCTAAGTCTATGTTCCAGCAAAGGAAACATTTTTTACATTTCTCTCAGTGTTTAATAACACTGTAACTGCTGCCAGTCAGCAAAGATCTTTTGAGGATGGCATTAATAGGAAGCAGGTTGGTATGGCTATGCAAAGTGTTTTTATTTCTCTGGTACATCCTGCAAGAGCCCAGGAGTTAAAGGAGACAAGATTTTCATAAACTGCCCCTGTTGAGGCTTGAAATCCAGTTACACAGCTCTTTGTGCCTACTGGCTTATAGCTAAGTGGTGCGTAATGAACACATTGCATAATGCAAACAGAAATGTTCATGCCTAAATGCCCAGTATATATTGGCATTTAAAAGAAGACTGCCAACAGCTGGTCTGTTCATGTTGGGACCCCATCAACTGCAACTATTCAGACAGAGAATATGCACCGCTGCTGCACATCTCCACTCCCTGTCACTCTCCAGGCAGAATCATGAGATATGGAGTGCAGCACTTGGATCAACACCATTTTAGGAGGGCATCACACAGATGCATTTAAATAAAACTCAGCAGGCACAGCTCTGTACCTCTCAGTAGCTCTAAACAGATAAACATAGAGAACATTCATGTGGGCACACCAGCAAAACCAGGAGCGTTTATTTCAAGTGAAAATTTTTACCAGTACTGAAGCACGAGCATTTGTAACTCAGGCTCCTTCAAAAATCAGTCTAAGTGAGCAGCATCTATTCTTCGGCAAAGCATAATGTCTATCACTGAAAATCAACACTGAGTGTCCCGAAATAAAATAAATTTCCATAATAAGCAAACATGAATGACTCTCTAGAATATCCCATCTGCCCCCCATCCTGCTCAATTGTTGATGCTAAGAGTCATAGTATGGGCACAATCACACTGTATGAGGCAGAGCAGCTGCATGACACAATTTACCTGTAATAAAGTTTCTGAGCTAAAAGTAATCAAATCCACATGAAGCTGGGGGGCATGAGCTGATCACTAAAAATGTCAGGATAACATCTCTTACCCATATACAGCATTTAACAACTGGCAAGGTGAACTGTATTAGGTTTCTCTGCCTTCCTTTAACAACAGGAATAGCTAAAATCCCTGGATTTGAAGGGCCAATGATCTAATTCAGCAGTCAAATCCTATGTTGTAAGGTGTACAAATAAAAATAGCTTTGAAAAAGGTACTAATTGATGTTGGACATTCCTAACTAACCACACAGATCATTAAAATGTGTTCTTTTTCTGAGGATCTAATTTGCCATATTTTTAAGTTCAGATTTTGTAACTGAAATTGTATCTATTTTAACATCATAGGATTTATAACAAATATTGCACATACATATTTATCTGCATAGCTATATTTAAGATCTCATTTTGCAAGGCATTGAACATCCACAAATGTTCTTAAATCCACAGAAATTATGGGTCTCTGCACTTCACAGTAGTTTCTAGCATCTAGCCAGAATGATGCCCTAGATGCAAGGGATGCTTTGTAAAAGCATCAGGCAAGGACAGGTGACTTCGAATGCCAATCTAAGACTGAAAACACTTGATTGTTTTCTCCTGCTTTCCCTTTTGATGGTGCTAGACAGTGGAACATTTCATTTTGCTCTGTGGTGGTCAGTCATACAGAACTCAGGAGTAATTTCCAAACATCCCTTTGCAAAACTTCCAGTTAAGTGGTGAGAACACAAACCAAAGGTCCTCTCTCCAATCTGTGACTTTTTCATTCTCAGCTCTTCCGGCTCTCTTTTATCTTCATCTCATTTAGGCAATTCACCTTTTCCTGGTGATCACTATGTTTGCAAGGCAACTCAAAATATCCTGTAAGCATTTTCTAAACATAGGGAAAGCACAATCCATGTCTCAGAAATTAATGAACCATATACAGACACTCAGAGATGTCTGGGGTAAAGGACTGTTTCCAGAATATATCTGCAACTTCTCTGGAGAGATGAACTAGAGGCTGTATCCCTATCTGGGAAATATGGATTTAAAAATCTCCTTCTCCTTTTAGATGTCATCTTCTTCTTACTCATAACTTTGATCCAGTGGCCTTTTCCTCTTTTCATCTCTTAGGGCCATTACCAGATTCCCCTGAACATGCAACAATTTAATCTATCTATAGCAATGGTCAATCTTGATTCAAACTCTAAAGTTTTTGGGCAATTATGCAGCCCGAAATGAACTCCGCAGAGATATTAAAGCATGAAACTGTTCTCTTCAACAACACTGTCAGGGCTGAAAACACCATGGTGTAACCAGCAGGAAATGCTCTAGAAAAGAACATGCACTGCCTTTTCGAAAGGTTCACTTTCAAGCACTTCTTCTCACCTGTGCTAAACCTCCAATCTCTTTGACACAGACATAGAGCCTGAACAGGTCCAGGGGTTTCTTGCCCACAGCTGGCAGACTGGCCACAGGTGTGCCCCTCTCCTCCATGAACGTCAGGTACCGATCTACCCACATCTTGCGCTCTGGCTCATTTCCCAGCTCATAGACTTTAGTGATCTTCTCTCCAGTTGTGGTAGAGGAACTTGACTTCTAAATTGCAAGAAGAAAAGAAAGAGTTGGGGGAAGGGTGGGAGGGAAGGGAAAAGAAAGTAAGATACTCACAACATTGAAAAAGAGAAGATGTCAAACAAACTAAAGCTATCACACAACAGTCAGGAATGAAGGCTACTAGTTCAGGCACAAACAGTACATTCTGTCCATATATGGAAAAGTCAGCTTTTTAAATAAAGGGCCCAAACTCCCTATTTTTGTATTTCTTTCACTGATCTGAACTTTGGATCCCAGAAGGCAAGTTTCTGGTGTTGCCTCATTGTCATTTCAAGAAGAGGTAGCTCTCACGTAGTGCTTCTCATCCACTTATCTCAAAGAGCTTTTCAAACAACTGATTTTGGTAAATTTGTTAAAAACAAGTTTGTCCAAGACAAGTTGAGAAAATCCTAAAACTAAACCAAATCAACTCTCTGCTCTTTGCCCTCAAAGAAGGGCTAGAAAACCCGAAAGTGATACATGGAAGAGTAGTACTCTCTTCAGAGCCACAAATGGTTACGCTTTATACCACTGTTGGCCAAAAAGCAAGATGAGCAGGAGTACCTACAGTACAAGGAGATTGGTGGCAATACTCTTTGTGAACTGCCAGTCAGCTGCCTGATCCAATAAGGCTTGTGAGTAGCTACTACTCTCCTCCCTTGTTAGAAGACAGAAGACACCCATCTTGCTTGTCCTCCCTTGCAAAGTGAATGTGCATTATAACCTGGGGAAAACCAAGGAAGCACAGCAATCAGAGCTGAACCACCACCAGGAGAAGCAAAAGAGGTGGCAAGAGCAGAATTCTGTCTCCATGGCAGAAACGCAGGAGTGAACCTATTTTCCTGCTGCTATATGGGCATTACAGCTAATGAAAGCTCATGTTATTCTTTGGGTGTTTTATGTGGAGATGGCAGAAAGCACTGAGGCTGCTATAAATTCTCACCGTATCTTTTCTGTGCAATATAACCCTGCGAGCTGGGCTCCGTGCCAGGTGAGGACAGACCTTGTCACAGACCCTACCCGAGCTGCCTCTGATCTGACAGCAGAGAGGGGCTGCTGCTACTGCAGCAAGACCCTCCCACTTGCAGAAGGTGAAGTGATTTGCTCAGCACTGAAATATGGGAGTGGTTCAGAATTAAACACAGGGGAAAAAGACTGACATAAAGCTTTGGGAAAGGAGCCAAATATGTGAAAGGAAACATATCCTTTATGTCTGTATAGTAAAATCCTAAACTTTGTTGTTGATTGCAGTAGACACTTCTTTAAACTCATCTATCCCTCCTTTGCCTTTTCCCTACTTTGAACAGAAGACAGCACTATTCTCAAGTAAACAGAAACTCGTTCCTAGTTGAGCATCTCTAAAGAAGACCCTAGCTGTACCTCAAAGATGCTACAGAACCACTCACTTCGTCCATGTCCCCACATAGCACTGGTGAGGCCTGGCACTCAACACCATGAAAGAAGGATGCAGAGGAGCAGAACTCCACTGCCAATGATTTTAAAAGCATTGCCACCATTCATCTTGCATGTTAGCCTGGAAAATATGACAGGCTCTGTATGTCCTTCCAGCCATCAGCTGAAACTTGGCAACACTGGAGGAGACTCAGGAGAAAAGAAACATGAAGCCAAGGGGGGTGACCTAGCAGTTCCATGAGCCATTGCTGTTCTTTCCAGTGAATGGATATTAATTTTAATTAAATAAATAGCCTCCTGTAAAGTTTTCTGCCTTGCTGACACTGTAACTTCTTCTCAGCAGTCCTTCCTGCAGAGATATGATTACCTTTCTTACTTAAAAGGAGATGGACTCCTGAATTTACTTGAGCCAGACTCAGTTATGCTACAACTCCCACTGCAGTCAGAGTCAAGGCTGAATTTGTTTTACTAAAATGAACTGGCAGTCAGGAAAGCACTTTGACATGAATCCTGCAGATTATGCAAAGAAAGCACAAACTGATTCTATAATGGCAACCAGTTTACTCAAAGCATCACTTGCTATGTATCTGGGTGTTTAAGAAAATCAATTTATCTCTTTGCAACACATATACTTTGTCAAAGGGTTTTTTTCAGGGGTGGGTGGAAAGGGGGAAGTAGGCAAGTCATGTTGCTACTAATTTGATTTTGAGATGAGAATAGATATATGATCACACAGGCTTGAACAGCTGAATGAGCTGGAGCTACCCCACTACCAACTGCAGTAAGTACAAAGTTACTCTACTGCTCATTAGCAATAATTTTAATCTGACAGTTAAGATGCACCAGAATTTGTAACAAAAATGAAGGTGGGCAATTTCAGCTTTTACCCAGCAAATTTTCTGTGTTCTTATAGTCTAAGATATAAGGCAACAAAATAGTTTCTATTTCACTTTTATGGTAATTCATGATTAAGAAAGTTCAGATTTACCAGTTTTAGGGTTTAATTTTTATATGTTAAGATTCACTTTTTCAAATCAGATTCAGAGCAGAATGGAAACAGTTAAGAATCTTTCATTCTGCATTTTTTTACCATACATCTCAAATGATGCTGCTTTTCAGCAGTGTGGCAGCAGGCTCTAAAATGACAGTATAATCTGAAAACTTTTCACAGCTTACAGAAGGTAAGAAGTGTTTCTTACTGTGTGAGCTTTCAGGTTGTCATGCTTTGTAAAATGGGTGCAATTTTCTTCTAAAATGAAATGTTAACTTTAGAAGAATGCACTGGAGGGAAGAATGCTATTCCTCAAGAGTAAAGATCTTTTTCTCTTCTCTATTTTTATAAATGTAAACATATAAAAATGACAGATGTGTGCAAGCTAGTCTACACACAAACAAACTACAGTTTCACATGGGCAGGTTCAGCTGGAAGCCTAAATTTGCCTATAGGTAAATATTAACTCTCAGAAAATTAGGGTTTATTAGAGAATGATCCCATTGTTAAGTAAAATGAGTGCATGCCAGGCAATGTTGGAAGAATACAGATCATGAGCTCTACTTCTCTTAAGTTGGTTGATAATTTTGGTGATAAAAGAATGCTAGTGCAAACCTGTGGCACATACCTTTACCAATTTAGTTGTATGCTACTCTACCCTCAATCCCCTGCACTCTTCCACATGATATGACTGGCCATGTTTAAACGGGTGATTGAAAAATAATCCACCAAAGCATGTGGATACCAAAGCCAATTCCCATGTTAAATCTGTCCAACCCCATACTTTCTTTTCAATCCACCTACCCTCTATTAAAACTGTACTACACACAGACCCTTGTATGGCAAGTTTGCAGAATCCTTCAGAGCAACATAAATTTCTGTGGGAGTTCTTTTCACATGAAAGGCAGTGGGTAGTTGTTTCTGTACATATCTTTAAGTGTCTATATTTATAGAACTATCTACTGTTCACTTTCCTCACTTCAATGAAAAATCTGCCAATATTACACATATTACATAGATCTCTTTTACTACAGAACAGAATGTGCACAGACAGACAGCAAAAACTGCCGAAGTCCAATCTCTAGCAAAGGCTTTTGCAGGACACAATCTTCTGTCAAGATTTTCTCTTGAAGGACTCTGCAGACCCTCACAGCTAGCACCATGGAGGTGCAGTACCGTTCAGGTGTATTCACTGTCACGTTCATGGGTACCTATGGGCAGTGAACAGCATTTTATGAGGTTTTTGTAATCTACTGTTTTATTCACGTTGCAGCCACTCTGCATAGTTCACACCCACATCTGAAATGTCTCTTTTAAAGAATTTTAAAACCACCACATCACTGTCAGAGATGCACATCACATGCAAAATTTGCATACCAGAAGTGTCCTTTCAGTGATGTACCCAAAGAGGCCTCAAAACATAATGTTCAACAATTCCTTCTCCCCATTTTGTCATGGCTCACTTCCACACAAAACAGCTGAAAGAGAGGATCCACTTAGCAGGATCACAGGGATACCTTGAAGTGAATCACAGACTATTCAACCTTGCCTTTATATTCTGGTGGTGTGGAGAAGTTGTAGCATGTGAAGCAGCTTTGGGATTCAATGAACTAATTCAGGCTGTTTTCAAGTGTAACGAAATGCCTGCAATCAACCGTTCCAGTCTATGTCAGGCTGCTGTTGAAGTCGATGAAGTTATCCAACCCACTGGACTTCATAGGTAAAAAGGGATCAGCTAATTTACAGCACTCACTTTTCTATAATTTCATAGCATTGTATTTACCCATATCTATGTACCAGCTGAAGCTTTTGGACAGAAGGACATTCAGAAGAAACTGAAAGCATAAACTTTCTCATTTATTTTTTCAGTGCTATGCTTTGGCATATGGACATGGAAAAATCTCCACATATATTCACGATGACTCTAGGATTTGCAATGCAGTTTATGCAATGAGCTCAGGAATGCATTATTGTTTGGTAGCCTTGTAGAGGAAGCACTGGATGCATTAGACAGACTGTGCAAGAACTCTCTTGCTTTCCTCCAGAAAATTGCCCAAGCAAGCAATACCCAAAACATTACTACAAGAAATACTAACAGAACATTTGGTACCATGCTTTCAGAAATGCTGCTAAGAAAAAGATGAGACTTTGTGGGAAAAAGTAGGACCAGCTGCCTTCTGAGACTCAAAGTTACTGTCAAAATAAACTTCCAAAGATTAAAGTGGTACATTTCATGCAATGCTGCCCCTTTGCTCAGGGGATTTGCTGATTTTTGGATGGGTAAATCTTTTCACCTCTGATTACCCTTCCTCTGTTTGTCCCGAGACATACTCTTCAACGTATCACTTCGTAAAAATTAAGTTGTTGTCAAAGAATTGTTGCTAATTTAAGTGTATGTTAACATTGGGGAAAAAAACCCTTTATATTCTGCCCAAGAATTATGTTTCAGTATTTTTCTACAGAGAAATTACAATTGTTACTACTTTCGGTAAAAAGAAATAAGAGAGGAACGACATATATTTCTAATTGGGAAAAAAAAAAAAAAAGAAAGCAAAAATGACCAAGTGGACATTTGCTCTCCATAGGCCATACCACCATATCAGCTTAGGTCTGCATTTTCTTTTCTATATATCAATACAGATTTTCTATGTGTACATATACAGATAGATAGATAGATACATGCTGAAATTTGATTTTAACTCCACACATTTCTCTCAGGTTTTTCTTTACAACCTGTATGAGAATGACTAAACACTTTTCATCTAAAAAATAGTTTTCTAACAATGTACATGCATCAGGGTTTTTTTCTACCAACAATCTGGGTTATTTTGAAGTAAGCAAATTAGAAACAATTTTGGTTTAGGCTGTGCCCTGATAGCCTAATGGCTGCATTTCCAAACACACAATTCAAAATGAAAAATGTTTCAAAAATAGAAATGTCAGCCTTTTTGTGGTGCTGAATCTATAATTTAACCTGTGATGGATATTAGTTTCACTAGAGGAGAAGATTTCTCATTTTGCTTTGTTTTTTGCTTTTTTTTCCCCCCAAAATAATCCTAGTAAAGACAAGAGCAGCAACCAGAGTGAAGTCAGTTGTGTGAAGGAGTTTGGGCCCAGAAACAGAAATGGAATTGTCCTTAACAACACAGTCGGCATGCTTGGAAGCTGATGCATTACAGGAATTCTTCACAACAACTGCTGTATTACCAGACAGCACACTTGCATGATGCACGCAATTTTACTCTTTCTTATTTCAAAGTACTGTTGGGACAAATTTTGCCCTTGGGTAAGCACACTCAGGCCCCACTGAAGCCAGGGAGTGGAACTTACAGTCATGTGTCCGAGAGCAGAATTTGTACCCAGTGTTATAAAGAAAGAAAACTGTTTAGTGAATAAATAATGAAGAAAAGGAACTTACAAAACAAACAAGCAAGCATTAAAATATAATTAATTACAAAAAAATAAACAAAAACCAAAAAAACCAGAGCCACTTACAGGGCTTGATGGAGTCTTTGGCCAGCCTGGGCTGCTAATGCTATCACTTTCATCTCCATGAAATGAGGAGATGCTAGCAGAGCTTGGGGACATTGGGGAAGGGACTGGCAGGTTGCCTGGGGTTGGGGGCTGAGAAATACCCTGAGAGCTGTAGCTATCCTGTGGTAGAGGAATAAAAAAAAAAATAATATGAC